ATCCGTGGAGATGCCAGTTTGGTAAGCAGTTTGATACGCGTTCCGTGGCGGGAGACCGATGAGAGAGTCGGGAAGGACGGCGACGCCATTTTGACATCCAACAGGAGTCATGATGTCAGCAAAGGGTTGAGTATGAGCCGACTCATGAGTAGGCTGCTTCTGCGCGGCGCAGTGATATGTTTGCGAGGGCTGATGAGTAGCGAGAGACTCCAACATCCCAGCCGCCTCCATAGTAGTCATTTGTGTTAGGTTTTGTTCCAACGTGATATCATTTCGCGTGAATATGCGACCTGCGCGGTGGTCACCTTCTTTAGGCCAAACCAGGGAGTGCTGATAGTCCAGTAACTTATTTGCCAAGTAACAGGTGTCATATTGCGTCGGGGGGCTCAAGATATCGATGGAATGGAGGTGCCGTATAATGGCATCTTGGTCTCTTGGGAAAAGGCCTTCTTCGGCGTCAAATCTGTGACGATTAGTTTATGTCTGGGCCTGACATAAAAACACATACATTGAATCAGGTATGCTTTCATAAAAAAGTATCCCAAGTGCGCTTCTGAAGCGTTCATCTTCGTTCGCAGCGTTACTGGCTGCATCCTCATCGTTTGTTTGGTCGATGAAACGTGGTTCGGCAGGGACACGGATAGCCAGGAGCTGACAGAACGAAATTCGGCGTTGTCCAGCTTTAGTGATAGCAAGAAGAGCTGTGGTTTCGTCATCAGAGCCATCACATCCCATGAACCTCAAAAAGTCACGGACATGGGTAGTCCTTATAGATTGTATTTCAGGTTTCCAACGACGAAAATGCAAATATAAAGCAGCTGTTGTGAACCTCCATAAGATCTTGTAAGTTGAATATTTCTTGTAGAGTTGAATGGCGGAGTCTGTGAAGTATTTGCAGTATGTTTCAATTGAGTTGCGTGGCCGTTGCTTCAACTGCGACTCGTCTGCCGCTGGCGACCAGAAGGTCTGTGGATTCTTATCCCACAGGCGAAACCGGTTGAGAGTTGACTCGTTCAACTGCAAATGTGGGCGTTCGATTGACTTGATTGCGGTAACGTTAACAACATTTAACCTCTTCCCTCGCTGCCGACCGAAATTGGTTGAGAGCGACTCGAACCATCTTCGAAGAGTTTGGTGATTCGCCTCGTCGCTAAGGACCACATCCACGTTATCATCGTCGTTGTAGGGTTGTAACAAGCACCTAAGCTCCTGGATCGTTAGTTTGCTTGCTTTGCACCGCCTTTCATGGCGGCGAAGACTCGTCTTTGCTCTGCGCGTTACCATTGTGATAAACCGGTGTGAAGATGGTGAGTCTGGGAAAAGCTCCGGAGAGAGTTCAGCCTCGACCAAGAGGTCTGCGGGGTAAGGCAACGCTACGAACGCCACTGCGGGCCCGCGCTAACCCAAAAATCAANA